CGAGCAAGGAGGGGCCCGGCCGGCAGAGCGTGGCCCGCCCTGCAGCCCCCTCGCCTGTTGCGCCAGATGGTCGCGTGCATGCAAGCGCATGTGTGTGTGCCCGGCGCCCACCCCTGCGCCGCCCCTGCCTCCCGGCCTGCAGGCAGAAGCTGGAGAAGTGGCACGACCGCAGCCAGTGGGGCCGGCACAGCAAGGGCACGGGCAACAAGCTGCCGCTGCGGGTGGTGAAGACGATCCAGGAGGATGGCTTGCCCCTGGTGGGCGTGGAGGTGCGCAGGGGGGCAGGGGGGCAGAGGGTACAGGGCAGCGGAGCAGGGCAGCCTGCTCCTGCGCTCAGCAGCCCCTGCTGCGCCTCCTCCCGCCATGCTCCGCCCCGCCACCCCGCCCCTGGCACCCGCTGCCCCGCCTTTATGCCATGCCCCCCCTCTTTTTCCTATACCGCAGGCCACCAACCGCGAGGAGCTGCTGTACTTTGAGCAGTGCCTGAGCCAGCCCGAGGTGGAAGAGCAAGCGGGCGCCCTGCAGCGCGCACGGCTGCAGCAGCAGCAGGGAGGCCCCGCCGCGGCCGCGCTGGCCGCCGCCGGCTTTGGCCTGCCGCCCTACCACGGCAGCTACAGGCCGCACAAGAAGAAGGGCGGCGGCAGGGGGCGCCACTTCCGCTGAACGGACCGCTGCCGAGATCGGTTCAGCAAATGTGTGATCAATGCGGCAGACCCAAGTGCCTCGCTGGTGCCACTCTCGACCTCCTCTCATCAATTGTACGCCTGCTCCTCTTGACCTGATCCTTTTTGTCAGTACTGCTTGCCCTTCCCCCGTCAATTTTCGTGGCAGCATTTGTGGGGCGGGGCGCTCACACCTTGCACAGCGGCGCCTCCTGTCCAGCCTCTGCCCTGTACCAACGTCCCAACCGCCGCTTCACCTTTGCTACTCTGCCCTTCCCACCCTCGGGCCCTGTAAGTTGGGAGCTCTGCTTGGGCGTGTGCCACAGGTTACATGCATGCGCGGTCCAGCTCAGCGCTGCCCCAGGGCCCGCCGCCTCAGCTGCTGTCGCCCGCAACCACCATGTACCTGCAGCCAGCAGGGCAGGCGGTACGCCCCACATGGTGGGAAGCAGCAGAGGGCGAGGGTGCACAGCCACAGGCCGCCCCAGGCCTGGCCCCTGAGCAGGTGGCGCAGCAGGGCTCACGGCCGGATGGTGTAGCTGGGCACCAGCCCGTGGCGACGTACGGGTCCGCCTGCACAAACCCCTCAATGTCCTCCTTGCTCACATTCCTGCAGCCACACGGCGGCATCAGCGGCCGCACCAGGGGCGGCAGCAAATCCGAGGGAAGGTGGCCGCCATGGAGGCACGGGTGCGGCCCTGCGGCGTCAGCGGCTGGCGCAGTGCCAAGGCCTTGCGACTGCAGGGCACACACCTGAAGATGAAAATGGCTCCGTCCACGGGATCTGTCAGTGCCCCCGCCATCACCAGCTTGCTCTGCTCTGCCTGCGGCTTCCCAGCCGGGTGGGGGCGGCCAGGGTCAGCACTACTCAGAGTAGCGGCAGCGGTGAGTATCCTGTGGCGGCGTATGAGCTGGCCAGTCCTGCCCCACCCACCATTTTGTTCGCGCCAGCCAGGTGAGCCTCCCGGTAGGGACCCCGCTTCTCGAGAATGTCAGGCACATACTGGTATTGCAAAACGTGGTAGCTGTTGCTGGCGGCGGCAGAGGCCTGCAGCCAGGCGGCGCCAGGCGGGGCGGCGGCGGCGGCGGGCTGAGGGCGGGCCACCGTGCGGCTGAATTGCAGCTGCACCCGAGCATCGTGGGCGTGCCGGGAGGCGCGGCAGGCCTACCATCGCGCGGAAAGGGGCCGCTCTGCAGCGATGGGCCAGTCGGCAGGAGGCCAGCCTCAGGCTTGCTGTTGCCACCTGATTGAACATCGAGCAACAGCAGCGCGATCGGCGATGGCCGCAACTTTGCGTGAGTGGTCGCTGATCTGGCGCCAGACCGTCCACTGCCTCCGCCAAAAACACCTCCGCCGCTCAGTCCTGCCCCGGCTCTTGAGTTTGCTAGAGGCAGCTTATTACATGCGAATGGCGAAGGGAGCACGATGTGCTATGCTGCAGCCCCACGGGTAGAGAGGAAAAGGCGCGGCGTAGGAGGTCAGGCGGCGCGAGCTAAGGGATGGCAAGGAGCAGCAGATAGCGAGCGATATAAAAGGGTAACAGCATTTAGGGCACGGAAGACAGGATACAGTCACACAAGAGTATGGAGAGTGCTAGAGACAGGCAGGCTCAAAGAATTGGGAGGGCGGCGAATACCAGCCACTGAGGGAGGCAAAAAAGGGGATGAATGAAAAAAGGGTGAAAAAGCGTGCAGGGGCACATGACCACTATAACGTTGGGCAATGCTGGGGCCTGGGGGGCGGATGTGGCCACCGCGGCATGGGGTTTCTCGAATACCGTTGCGCAGTCAAAACGGATTCGTTGGCTTCGTTTGTTGTAGCGCTCACGTGGAGGTCGTTGGGAGCATCGGTTGGGGGGCCGAGCGCTTGCATGCCCGCAACAGCAGACCAAGATGTGCGGGCAGGTTGCGCTGCCCCACCCGCTCATTCCTCCTCCTCCCTGTTGAACTTGTTGCACAGCACCTACATCAAGCAGGGCGCCTACATCAGCAGAAGCACTGGCACCAGAGCAAGGTGGGGCGCTTTCTGGAGCAGCCATTACGTTCCCCACCACACACGCTCACCGGGATGCCGGCCTCCTTGAGCGGCGCCAGGAACGCGTTGACCTCCTCGGCGCTGGGGCTGGACATGCCGGTCAGCGGGTACTCCTTGCCCTCGGATGCCCACTTCTGCGGTCGGGTTGGGGTTGGGGCGGAGGGGTTGGCGTGTGTGCATGCTGAAGTGCGCAACTCAGAGCACCATTCCAGAGGGCAGGCGTGCTTGGCAAACCAGCCAGCGGCTGCAGCCGGTCAACCCCTGCCGCGGCTGCCCAGCGCAGCGAGGCGCAGCACTTGCGGCACCCCAGCGCACCTCCACGCCCAGCAGGTGGTAGGGCAGCACCTCGATGGCCTGCATGCTGCGCTTGTTGCGGCAGAACTGGATCAGCGCCGCCACATCCTCGGGCTGGTCCGTCTTGCCGGGAAGCATCACATACCGCAGCTGCATGGCGGGGAGGGGAATGGGATGGTACCAGAAAACGCGGGCGGGCACGTCAGGGGTGGGGGCCCAGGCAGGCATGCCACCCAAGGAACCAACGCATGCCTGGAAGCAGGCTTGCAGCTGCACGAGTCCATGGGCTGCCCGCAGAGGGGCCAGGCAGGCAGGCCACAAGGCCTCACCCAGTAGGGAATCTGGCGGCGCTCCAGCTCATCCACAAACCCCAGCGCCGGCCCAATCTTGCGCTTGGTGATCCATTCGTACTTCTCTGCAGGGGGCAGGGGGCGGCGGCGGTTGCGGTGGCGGGGCTGGTCTGAGCCACGGGGATGAGAGGCGGGGACAAGGAGGGTGGAACGGCGCGGCACTGGCGGCCTGGTGGGGTGCGGGGGTGGCAGGCTGGCACCCACCTGGGATGGGGCTCTTGATGCAGAACAGCGCATAGTCCAGGTGTGGCAGCACCTTGTCCCAGTGGGAGTGCTTCATGCCCTGGCCTGCAGGCGGCGGCAGAGGGCACGCGGCGTGGTTGGGTGGGGATCGCCAGGGGCATGTCGGCGCAGCACCGGGTGTGAGCAGCGAGGGGATGCGGGCTTGAGGTGGGCCCCGGCCCGCACCCGTGGTGTCTATGCAGGTGGTCAGGCCGCGAGTGTGCGCCTCCATCAACACCGATGCAGTGAACTCGGGCTGCAGGCAGGGCGGTGGAATGGGGCAGACAGGCGCGGGTGAGCCTGCTGTGACTGCATGCCAGTCCAGCGGGCAACCTCCAGCCGTCAACGGCGCCACGCGCAACATGGGTGGCCCCAAACAAGCCGGCGCGCACCTGCAGCAGCGGCTCGCCGCCGCTGATGGTGATGCCGCCCTTGTGGTCGCCCTGGCTGAGGTACGGCTTCACCCGCTCCAGCTTCTTGGCCAGGTCCTTGCTGCTCGTCAGCTTGCCTGCATGAGACGGCGGTGGCGGGAGGGTGGGTGGGTGCTGGGGTGAAGGGGGCAGGGTGGTGGGGTGAATGCAAACGTGGCTCCTTCTCTTGGCGGGAACAGTGGCGGGTGGAGGTTACGGAAACGGCTGCCCCGAAATGGGGCGGACATCAGGCAAGGAAGCAGCTGCGCCTAGAGGCAGGCGGGCTGCAGCACATCAGCCGCAAACAGGGGCCCCGGAGGCGGCTCACCGCGCGCCATGTGCCAGGTGTCGGGGTTGCTGCAGAAGACGCAGCGCAGCCCGCAGCCTTGCACGAAGACCAGGAAGCGCACGCCGGGCCCATCCACCGCGCTGAAGGACTCGATGCTGTGGACGGAGCCCACCACCTCGGGCACCTCTGCGGGCGTCTGCGGCGCCGCGGTGGCAAAGTCAAAGCCGCCGCGGGCGGCGAAGCGGCGGTTTGGCGGCACCTCTTCTGCCGGCTGCGGCTCGGCGCTGGCCTGGTGCGCCGCCGCCGAACACGCAAAGCCGCGTTGGAGGGCGTGCAGCAGGGGTATGGCTGCGGGCCGCAGCAAGGCCGGCCCAAGACTGGTCACTTGCTGGGCTAGGAGAGACAGCATGATCGTTTGGGATGACTGATGAGATGGAGATCACGGACGCGGGGGAATGGGAAAGGGTGGCGCTGTTCCACCCTTCCCGCCGCCGTTCGGCCCTGCTGGAGGCCACGCGACTGCGACTGGCATCGTCATTCCCCCAACCTCCAATTCCATTGTGCTGTCCCGCCTCATCCTGAATCTGTGATTGCGGCCAGGGCGGCGCGGGAGTGCGCATTCTGAGCGGGCTCCAGGTTGCTCGTCGGCAGTTTGCTGGCCGCAATCTGGAGCCTTGTAGCGAACAGCGCGGGAAACTGGCCCGGTGGGCGCCTGCGGAGGCTTGGGTTTGCAGGTCTTGATCGAGCGCCGCCGCCATTTGCCGCCGCCACCTGCTGCTGCCCTTCATGCCTCCTCCCGCCAACTTCTGCCTCACTTGGCTTTGCAGCACAATGAACCCAATGCGTCCTTGCAGGAGTTAGCTTGCAACACAACACACAGGCTAATAAGCACACCATGGACGGCTTGGTAGATGTGGAGGACGCCTTCAGCCAGCAGGCACTGTCGGCGCCGTGGGGCGAGCTGGGGCGCAGCGCCACGCTGGGCCTCGTTTCGCTCTTCTCCAAGCTGGTGGTCACGGTGCTGAACAGCTTCAGCGTGGATGGGCTGGACGCCTTCCACCGCCACGTCATGAGCCGCCAGCCGGGCGTGGGCCTCATCACCGTGTGCAACCACACCAGGTGCGGCAGGGCGGCCGGCTGGCCACCTGCAGGTGGCACGGGCCCCTGCCTTCTGCAGCGCCCCGCCTCTACTGCTTCTTTGCCACCGCCCTGATGCCGCCGCCGTGCATTGCTGGCCGCCTGCAGCACCGCCGACGACCCCATGCTCTTCTGCTCCATGCTGCCCGCCTCCTTCTTCTTCCGCGAGCACCGCCACCACCTCAACCGCTGGTCGCTGTGCGCCCAGGAGATCTGCTACAAAAATGCCCTGCTGGGCCAGTTCTTTCAGAGCGGCAAGACGCTGCCCATACAGGCACGGGGGCCGGGCCGCGGAGGGGAGCTGGCGGGAGGGCGCCAGGCTGGCTGCAGAGCCGCCTCTCAGTGCTGCGCAACTTGCACGCAATGCCAGTGAGAGGCCCCCGCTCCCACCACACGCTGATGGCTCGACATCACCCCCAGCCCTACTGCACACGGCCCTGGTCTGCAGCGCGGCGGCGGCACCGACCAGCCCATCATGCGCACGGTGGCGGCTGAGGTGGCGCGTGGCTGCTGGGTGCACATCTTCCCAGAGGGCAAAGTGAACTACACTGGGCGGGTGGGGCCGCTGCGCTGGGGTGTGGGCAAGCTGGTGTGCGACGCACGGGCGCGCTCCGACAGGTCAGCGCGGCTGCCGCGTGGGGCTGGCCTGCTGCCGTTTGTGGTGGCTGGCCGGCGCTGCCTTGTGCCTGCGCTCGCTCTGCGTGGCAGTGCCGCCCGCATCCGACACGTCGCGCTGCTGCAGGGACCCCGTTGTGCTGCCGTTTTACCACAGCGGCATGGGCGGGGTGATGCCCAAGCACAAGCGGGTGCCGCGGGCGGGCAACGAGGTCAGGGTGGTGGTGGGGCAGCCAGTGGACCTGTCTGACCTCACATGCAGGTGGGCAGGTGCTGCCACGCGTGGAATGCAGCGGGGTTGTCCTTGCATGGCCAGTCGCTGCTTGGCACAGGGCTGGTGGTCCCGCTGTGGCGGGGAGCCATCCCGTTGTCGGCAGCGTGACCTGCCTTGAGCGGCCCGCTGCCGCCTGCGTGCGTGCGCAGGTGCAACCAGGCGGGGGAGGACCAGCGCATGGTGTGGCGGGATATCACGCACCGCATCGGCGCTGCGCTGCACGAGCTGGAGGGGCAGGCGCCGCCCAACGCGGACCAGATGCAGGGCGGGCGGCGGCAGCATGATGAGGAGCGGCACCGGCACTCGGAGGGCGCGCTGCCAGAGGGCCCGCCAGGGGAGGTGGAGGAGTAGGGAGCGGGAGGTTGAGGCAGCGGGCCAGTGGGCGGGCCGGGCCATCACGCGCGCAGCCCCCCTGGCCGAGCGAGAGAGAGCGGGGGTGTCCCTCTTGTCGAGCGGCACCGACTTCTGGGTCTCAGCGGATCATGCAACTTGCCTATTTGATTGTGATTGATTCCTTTCATGCGTGTATTTTTGGAGAGTGTGTACAGCACAGTCAGTGCAAGCAAGCAGGTCAACCGCATTTCCTTGGAATCGAGTTGGCGGCGGCGGGTTGGCGGCGGCGGGACGGCGGCAAACGCCTTGCACAGCGGACAATGGCCAGCAGGTCCGGAACCTGTGCCGCCCGCTCCTCCAATGCGACTGGGAGGCGTGGGAGGCCCCAGCGGCACAGAAACGGGCTGGGTGGCCGGCGCCCAAACTTTCTTTGAAACGTGCGGCTCTCAGGCAGTGCTCTGCTGGACACTTTTGTGAAAGTGATGTGCGCAAAAGCGGCCGTTGTATCCTTGGATGGACCGCAAAACATCCATTATAGAGAGCGCACGCCGTTCTGGCCCACCAACGTGTGCGGGGGGACCCGCGCCCCCGCCCAGCCCCATTCCCACGCTCTACGGGGCCCACACTCGCAATAACACGCTATGCAAGATGGCGTGTTCCACCTGGGGCTTAGCAGCATGCAGAGGCCCTCCCAGGCCGACCTGACCGAGGAGGACGACTCCGCCACCAAGCCTGGTGGGAAGGTGCGGCCCGGCCTTTCCCCCGCTTCCGTGGGGGGTCCCAGGAGAGCCTGGGGGACTAATGGGAACGAAATGAGGCTCCTGGAGCTCCAGAGATAGTTGCGCACGGATATCTCCTGGTGGCCACTCGTGGCGGCGGGCGGGCCCCGCGTGTGGCCGCCGACGAGCGCCACCCTTTGCCCGCGCCACGCCCCTCTGCGCCCCGCTCCTTGCCTCCCAACCTCGTCCCGAGGCCTCTGGGCAGCGCCAGGTTGCCTTCCCGACCCTGGGCAGGCCGCCATGCCTCTTCCCCGGCTCCGGCCCGACCATGCTCGCGCACCCTCGGCCCCACCCTGCAGATGCGCAAGCCCTACACAATCACCAAGCAGCGCGAGCGCTGGACGGATGAGGAGCACGACCGCTTCGTGGAGGCGCTGCGCCTCCACGGGCGGCAGTGGCGCAAGATAGAGGGTGCGTGCGGTCGCCGCCGCCGGGCGCACACCCGGGGACGCACCCAGGCTCTGGCTGCCGCGGCGCATGCTGGGCCCATGCCGCCCCCAACACCGCGTGCCCTCCCCCCGCCTCAACATGACACTCTTGCAGGCCATGTCAAGACCAAGACTGCCGTGCAGATCCGGTCGCACGCCCAGAAGTTCTTCAGCAAGCTCGAGAAGCAGCAGATGCAGCTGCAGGCGGGGCTGCAGCCCACCCTGGGTGAGCGCCCCCATCGCCCCGCTCCACCCACCCACCCCCCACCCCGAGCATGGCCCTCCCCGCTGCCACCTCCCTCCCTGCATGCTCACCTGCCTCACCCCCCAAACCCCTGCCTCCGCCCCGCCCGCAGCCGGCGTTCCGACAGACCTGGCGGTGCCGCCGCCGCGCCCCAAGCGCAAGACCGCCGCCGGCGCCAAGGCGCACCCGCGCAAGCTGGAGGCCTTCAGCGACATCACACAGGTGGGCACCCACACCCCGTGCGCCAGCTGGCAGACCCACCAGCCTGGCGGCCCGGCAGCCGCCGCGCACCGCTCGAAGCCCGCCGGCCCGGCGCCTCACCCCGTCCCGCCCCTGGCTGCCGCCCCTCCCGCCAGAGCCCCCTGCAGGTGGGCTCCCTCAGCCTGCAGGCGCTGCCCGACTACGCAGCGCTGGTGAAAGAGCGGCGGCGAGGTGACTGACGTGACTGTGGCAGCGGAGACAGCGGCCCAATATGCTGTTTTTTTATTTTAATATTTTAATATTTTTTCGGCGGCGGCGGCCGCGGCCGCCGCCGCGGTGGTGGCGGCCGCGGGCAAGGAGATTGAGACCAAGCTGCAGGCCTGCCCGCCCTCGGTCTTCCCCTTTTACGGCCTCACCCCCGCCATGCTGCGAGCCATGTCCAACCCAGCCACCATCCAGGCCAACATACACGCCACCATCCACGCCACCTCGCGCCACCAGCACCGCTGCGAGCAGCTGGGGGGTGAGCGGCGGCGGGGCCGGCGCCCTGGCCGGGTGCCGGGGCACGCCGCGGCAGCCCGGCGCGCGCGTGTGCGCCTGCCTGCATGCCCGCCTCTGCCGCCAGCCACCCACATGCGCCGCCTGGCCGCCCCCCGCTGCGCTGCGCGCCCCCGCCTGCAGCCGCCACCGCGCAGCAGATTGGCGCGGAGCGCATGGGCACCAGCCAGCCCGGCTACCAGGGGCTGCTGGCGCAGGTGCACGGCGAGGACGGAGAGGACAGGTGTGTGTGTGTGAGAGGGAGAGGGAGAGGCCCTGGCTGCGCTCGCCCTGGCGGTTCAGCAGGCCCCTGCCGCCGCTGCCTGGATCCCTGGGTGGCCTGCTTGGCGCATCCCAACATCCCACCACGCACCATGCTGAAGCTGCCGCCCGACTGCCTGCCCGCCCCTGGCGCCCCCCCACCACGCCCTCTGTGCAGCGCCTGCTCCCGGGAGAATGCTGCGGGGCGTGCGGGCAGCGACGACGCGGACAGCGGGCTGGAGGGCGGGCTGGCCGGCTCCGCCTTTGACCGCCACATGCACGCCTTTGACCGCCAACTCCATGCCAGCAGCTCCAACCCCAACCTCCTGGCCGGCCTGGCCAGCCTGTACCCCGGCTGGGGCCCCCAGAGCTCCACCGCCGCCGCAGCGGCAGCCGCCGCGGCGGCCGTGGCAGCGGTGGCCAGCGGCACCGCCGCCTTCCCGCCCCTGCCCGACCCGCTGCAGCAGCAGGCGCTGTGGGCGCGCAGCAGCACCGGCGCCGCCTCCGCCATGGACCACAGCGCCACCGCGGTACACCTGTTTGGCACGCTGGGCAGCCTGCAAGCGCCGCCGGCGGGCAGCGCGGCTGTGGGCGCCAGCGGCATCGCCGCCCCCGCCAGCAAGCCCACGCCCACGCCGCCGTCTGTCACGCCCCCGCTCCCCGCCCAGCGGGCAGGACAGGCTGCGGCGCCGGATGCGGCGCAGCCGCCCGGTGCGCAGCCCGCCGGCCAGGCGGCGCAGCCTGCACAGAAGGAGCAGGGCAGCAAGGTGGGGCTTGCGTGCGCCGCCTGCTGCCTGTGTGGAACGCTCCTCGTCGCGCCGCCGCCGGCACAACACCTTGCTCTGCTGTGCCTGCCTGTCCGGCAGGCGCTGGGCATGCTGCCGGCTGCCGAGCCGCCTGCGAGCGCCTGCTTCTCCCTCCCTGCAGAGTACCGACGGCGGCAGCGCCGGTGGTGGCAGCACCGGCGAGGAGCAGCAGGCGCCTGCCCGTGGCGCCGCCGCCCCCGCGCAGCCAGGCGCCCAGCAGGACGGCGGCAGGGCGCGGCTGGATGAAATGGGGGAAGGTGGGCACCCCTGCTGTCTGCCTGCCCGCCTGCCTGCGCACTTGCCTGGGAGTCTGGAGCTTGGCAAACCGCTTCCGGCCACGCTCTCCGATCCGCAGCTGCGCACTCCGTGCACCCTGCTGGATTGTTCCTGGTTTGGAAGCCTGCTCACGGCTGTCCCCCGCGTGCCCACAACCCCCGTGCAGGCTCAGGCAGCAACCCCACAGGCAACGGCAGCAGCATGAACGGCAGCGTGCACCGGAAAGACCAGGGCCCGGCGCAGGGTGAGCGGCGTGGGGCCGGCCCATGCGTGCCGCAAGCGCCCGCGACGAGCTTGCGCTTGCGGGGCAGCCCGGCGCTTGCCTGCTCGTCCTGCTGCCAGCCAGTCACCACCCAAATGAAGGCGCGCCTGACCCCGGCGTGTGCTTCTTCCCTGCCACAGGCCAGGCCAATGCAGGCCAAGCCAACGGTGTGAGCTCCAAGCTGCACCTGCCGCCGCCCGCGCCGCTGCCGACCGGCGCCGCCGTCCCCGCCGCAAACAACGGCCACTCGGGGCGTGGGAGCAACGAGAAGGACGACGGCAGTGGCGGCCGCAACGGTGGCAGCGGCGGGCGCCCCGAGTGCAACAACAACGGCGCCAGCACCGCGCACTTTGGCAACCAGCCGCCCCTCCCCGCCTGCCGCCCTCCGCTGCCATCCAACTATGGCTCCGGCAGCAACCCCTCTGGCAATGGGGCCGCCAACGGCAGCGGAGGCAACTCGGGCGGTAACGGCAGCGGCGGCAACGGCAGCGGCGGCAACGGCAGCGGCGGCAACGGCGGCAGCGGCGGGAACGGCCACTCTGTCATCCACGGCGCCGCCGCCACCGGCGCGGCCGGCGTCCCCGCCTCGCCGGCAGCCGCCGCGGCCGCCCCGCAAGCCACCAACGGCAGCGGGGACAACGGCAGCGGCAGCCTGGGCAAGCAGGCCATGTCAAAGCTAACTGAGCAGCCGGCAGGGCAGGAGCAGGAGGCGGCGGCGGCCCCAGGGGCCGCCCAGCAGGCCCCCGCCCACCCCGCTCCTGCCGTGGTGCAGGCTGCCGGGGGCCAGCCGCTGGCAGGCGCCGGTGCCAGCCCCACCGCCGGCACCACCGAGCAGCTGCAGCTGGCGGTGCAGCAGCTGGCGGCGCAGCAAGGCGGCGACCCCGCCGTGCACGCCAGCGCGGTGCAGGCCGCCATGCAGGCGCTGCAAGCGGTGAGCCCACCCTGACGCCCCCTCCTCCTGGGCAGAGCCTGCTGCGCATGGGCGCTAGTTCCCAGCTGGCGGCTGGGTCCCATGTGCCTGTGGGGGTGTCTGCTGGGCATGCTGCACCTCCCCGGCTGGGCCCACCTCCACCACGCTGTGCATGCTGCCATGCCTGCAGGCGGGGCTGCACCAGCTCATCATGCAGCAGGCGTACTCTCAGGTGGCGCCGGGGCTGCCCGGCCTGCCGGCACCCTTTGTACAGCAGCTGGGCCCGCCCGCCAGCTGGGCGGCGGCGGGCGGCGGGGCGGCGGGCGGCGGCGGCGTGCCCGCTGCGCTGCCCGGCCTGGAGGCGCTCGCCGCCATGCAGCAGCACATGGGGTCGCAGGTGGGAGTGAGGGAGAGGCCTGCTGGGGGAGCAGGCAGGAGGGCAGGGCTGTCTGGGGGCTAGCCTGGCACAACCCTGGCTGCAGCTGCTCAGGAGCCTGCGGTGTGGGATGCTTGGCTGCCGCCTGGCGTGCGCCACAGGCGCCCGCCGACCCCGCCCCGCCTGCGGCCCGCGTGCTGTGCAGCTGGCGGGCGGCCTGCAGGCGGGCCTGGCTGCCATGATGCGGCCACAGATGATGCAGGGCGTGGTGCCGCAGCCGCCCCTGGTGGCCTCTGCCAGCGGTGCGCCGCAGCCGCCGCCGCAGCCGCAGCAGCAGCAGCCGCAGCAGGCGGCGCCAGGTGGCGGCAGCGGCAGCGCACCTGCCAGCGTACCTGCCCCTGGTGAGCGCAACCGCCCTGAAACCGCTGAGCCTGGGGCATCTTCAGCTGGCGTGACCCTCCCAGGCCGCAACCTCCCTCCCCTTGCCGGGGACTGCTGGCAGCTCTTGAGCCCTCCCCATGTGCCCTGCTGCGCCGCAGAGACAGTGCCCGCGTCTGCGGCCCGTGACAAGGCCGCGGGCGCCAGCAGCGATGGCAACGGCACCACCATTGGGCAGAAGCGCACCCACAGCCCACGGCCTTCTGGTGAGCTGGCCGGCCTGCAGCCTCCGCCGCTTCACAGCGCTGCGGGACCGCCACCCGTTGTGACGCAGCGGTGTACGCTGCTCTCCTCACGACCTGCCCCCGCTGCTTCGCAGGCACTGCTCGGAAAAAGCCCAAGCCCAGCCGTTCCGAGACCCTCTAGCCGAGAGCACACCCAGGTGTTTACTAGGACCCTGGGTGGGTGAGCCTCAAATGAACTTCACTGCCCCAGCGCCATGCATGCCGGCAGCGACCCGACTCCGCTGTGCGGCTGCTGCTGGGCAGCACGCCACCCCTCGGCCAATCTTTCATCCCACCATCCCTCTCGTTTCTGTTCTTTGCACTGCCATCCACGCGCCCCTCCTTGACAACACACCCAATTCCGCCTCTGCCGCGCACCATGGTGTGCGGTTATGCATGGCATCCATTCGCGGGTGGAGGCACGCCGGCCTGCCAGCCTGCCCCCGCCCCACCCCTCCAGGGTTTCTCCCTGGCCCACCCTGTTGTCGTGTCTGTCCAATCCTTCTCCTTGTGTGGTGTTGGCGGCATGTCTGCCACGCTGCATGGTCCACCTGAGCGCCGTGTGCTCCCCGGTCTGCGAGTGCACACCAACAAACGACCCAAGCACTATGTCGTGCGCTCACCCCTCTGTCCGCTCGTCTTGAGCCCCAAGCACTGCCGTATTGAAAGCCCCGCCTGTGCAACCCACACCCAGGCTCGCCACACACACCCCCACACACTAACACTTCGCATCCTGCCCATATCCAC